GGCGTAATGGACATCTCCCACGTTATTCCATCAATCCCCGGGAAATCGAGCGTGGAAATCTCCCTTTCTTTTTTGTTCTGGAGAGAGCAAAGGAAGGAGGTACGACAGTGAAATCTTCGTGAGAACAAAACTTTCGCATTTCAATTATCCTCGCCACCTGTTCGCCGGATAAAGATAAATTGAAGCGCGCAGAAAGAATGAATTATCGCTCCAGCGATTAATTATTTTTTTCACTGGCGCAAATGTGCTCTCTCGCTTCGCAAAGATTGTTGATTTTAATGATAATCAAGTGAAATCAAATGATTGACTTCCATTTCTCTTAAAAGAGACGAGGAAAGCCTCCGTTTCTGCAACGCGGCTGAGCATTAAGCTCAGGATCGGAGTTTCGAATTCTAATCTTAAACACGCGTCGCCACCCACACCTTTTATCGCATACAGGCAGTCACCTAATTTACGAGTTCATTAATATATTAGTTCAGGCTAACGTAATTGACCTTGCTATTAAATTGCTAATCCAGCACCGTCCGCTGGAATTGCCGCATCGTGTGCATTCGAGCGGTCGCGCGCCTATTGATAGATATTTATATACATCATTACGCAAGTAGACGGAATCTTTTCATAAATTATGCAGTGTATGCAAAAAACGGCAGGCTGTAAAGAGATTTATCGCAAGTCGGCTTTATCTAGTTTCGATAGAAATTCGCGCGCATGACTCATTATTCAAAGTAATATCTTTCTCAATTGTCGTAAAGAATTCGTTATCTATTCTTCGACGGTAAAACTAAACTAAAGACTTCAAACTAAATTTCAAACAATGTTAAACTAAATTTTTCATATTATCTTGAAAATATATGTGGCTGAACAACATACATTTTTATGAAAGGTAATAATTATATCTAATTTAAGATTCGAACGAGAAAAGACAGAATTTTGTCGCCGCCGATCAATTTAAGAATATAATAAAAAATTAAGATTAAATAAGATTAGCTATATAATATAAATAGATAATAAAAATAGCTAATTAGAAAAATAGCTAATTAGAATTAATTAAATATAATTATAAAGTAAGAAAATAAGAATTTTCATGTGTATAATAAAATCGAAAATTTAGATAAGGTAAAATCAACTGACAACTTATAAAATGAATACACACTGCTTTTATAAAGATGAGCTATGTTCACAGTTTAGAAAGTAATACCGATTCACATCAACATATCAGGATTAGCTGATCGTGCCAGTTCCACCCGATGCAAAACACGATATATTGCGATACTTCCATAGTGCAGTTTCCAATCTAGAACGCTAAAAATCTGTCAGAGTGTGTAAATACCGTTAATAATAAAATGTAGGTCACGTGTACGGATACCTGTTTCTAATTAACTAAACTAACAAAGCTATTAAATGAAAGGATAGCACTATTATCCTTTGCGCCTCAAAACATTTTTTCGAAAATTTTTGTAAATTTTTGTAAATCTCGAATCTACATAAATGTCGAACAGTCGATTACGACTACTAAAAATTCAAAATATAGAAAGTTCCATTCTTCATAAAATTACTTATATTTCCTATTCTTTCTGAAAGATGTATTAAAAAAATAATTTTTTGAAAAACTTTCCTGATATATGCGGATATAAAAATGAAGAAACGCTTCGCAAAACATATAATGTTTAATGCTTATTAATTTATTATAACAAACATTTCTGCTCGTTATAATAAATTAATAAGCATTATTGATATCATTTTTTGCTCTTATTTCTAAATTGCGTGAATACAAAATTAAAATTATTTCGTGGAAATAATTTCATTATGATAATTGGTCGAATCATTGTGACTTTTAATTTTTAATTTTTAATTTTTATAATTGACGTCGTGTTAAAAAACGGGCCTTACGTTGGATGAGCTTACTCAGGCCATCCGAATCGTTGTCAAATTGATTGCAATCGAATTATTTAATCGAACGTTTGATGTGGCTCAGCTCAAGGGTCATGAGACCCAATCGTCGTGTGTTGCTTATTACATGAACAATTATGTGCCGCTGACAAGGCCGGTGTACAGATTATGTACAAGGTAGGCGATGTGAAATACACGATGTGACCACGCGATGTGAATATCAATCAAAGAAATTAGAAATTTGACAAAGGTTTGATGTATGCTTAAAATAACATTTTACAGTTATTCCGGTTATTCCTTTGAAAACCACAAAGACGATGGGTAAAATAAACGAACCTGCGATTTATTAAAATAAATTCTAATTTGCTCCATAAAAGTCCAAGGCTACATCATGAGAGTTCTACATTTGATATAGTTAGACGATATAGTATTGATATTGCCCTCGATAAAACGCGACACTTTCTACACATATAATAACTGTCTTTGATATTAGAAAGATACACCATACTAAAGTATATATATCTATATATTGTGTATATGCGTGTGAATATATAAAATATATAAATAATTACATATAAATTTTAACTATATATTAATTTTAAATATATATTTATGCCTAAATGTGTGTATGTATATATACACATACACACACATACATAAAATAATTTTAGATTATTAAAAATTATATACGTGATACGCGTGTGTGTATTTAGTATAGTGTATCTTTCTTTCGTTAACTATTAAGTGATGCTGGCGACAGAGGCAGAACTTTTATTGGCATGTGATCGTTGCAGCTTTGACCGTTGCACGATACTCATTGTCGCGAATGAATGGTAAGTTGATTTGTTCACGATGTTCATTTAAAGCCTATTTAACTGGTCAGTCTTTGTCTCGACAGACATTAACGCGTTGTCAGTGATTATATTTGATTTTATCGTTGTGTCAAAATTGCGCTATGTAAGAGCAAATAGTACAAAATATAAATGTGCGCTTTCACCTTCGGATTAGCTTGTCGTCGGTTCATGCGATAATACATAAGATATCTCAGCACGCACGAATGGCACTTTACGGATAAACGTTTCAGTTTAAAATCGATTAATTTTAGCAAAATATTGAAAAATCTGTTCCTAAAATATTATCTACACATTTCGAGATATTACAAGAAAAGAAATAAATGAATCGAGTAGGATAGACAGAAATTTATTCTATAGAATTAGATTTCAGATCTTCAAAATTGAGGAACGACATCAGAATTCTTTATTAAGATCTTTCAAAAAATGTTTTTCATAAATTTTACAAATGTCTTTCAATTACGCAATCTTTGATTTGATAAATTAATAATGTAAGCAGAATAAATTTTTGTCGACTCTCTGTTTGAAATTTATTTACTAGTAGACTTATTTCCGTGACAAAAGGCAACAATTTCCTTCAATCTTGACTTATTGTAACAACAAAGGAAAATCGTTCTATATTTTTTTAATATTCAT